TTTTTTTCAAAAATGGGATTTTTTTCGAAAATTGTACTGATTGTACAGATTTTTTAAAAAAAATGTACGGATTTTTTAAAAAATGTACGGATTGGTTTAAAAAAATGTACGGATTATACGTATTTTTTTTAAAAAAATTGTACGGATTGTACGGATTTTTTTCCGAAAATTGTACGGATTGTACGGATTTCTTCTGAAAATGTACGGATTTTTGTACGGATTTGTTCAAAAAAGTTTTGGCCACCCTGAATTATTAAAAATTTCAAAATTACCTTCCGTCAATGCTGTATTCATCCGTTCATCACTTTTATAGAGAACCATAATTGAAATTAATCTAATTTTAGATAGAAAAACAAAGATAACTCTTATTTTTTTATTTTCATGGCCAGTCTATTTCATGAAAGTACTTCGGTTTTACTGCCTATATTGTAATACCTTTTTCAGGTTTATAGCCTCTATTGTAATATTTCAGGTTTACTGCCTATATTGTAATGCCTATTTCAGGTTTACTGCCTATACTATAATACCTATTAAAGGTTCACTGCCTATATTGTAATACCTTTTTTAGGTTTACTGTCTATATTGTAATACTTCAGGTTTACTGCCTATATTGTAATATTTCAGGGTTACTGCCTATATTGTAATGCTTCAGGTTTACTGTCTATATTGTAATAATATTTTAGGTTTACCTCCTATATTGTAATATTTCAGGCTTACTGCCTATATTGTAATACCTATTTCAGGTTTACTGCCTATATTGTAATACCTATGTGGCCTGAAGGAGATCCAACCTCTGCTCCTATGCAAGCTATTCTTCACTGGCAAAAGCGGACAATGGAGATGATGTACAGAGAGGTTTGTGTTAGGATAGATAAACATAATATTATAATAGCAATGGTGAACAAATAGACAGTGACAATAAAGAAAAGTATTAGAAATAATATTCCCATCATTAGGTAGCATGAACACATCATTAGGAAACATGAACACATTATTAGGAAATATGAATACTTCATTAGGAACCAAGAACACATCATTAGGAACCATGAACACAGCCGAACCGGTCAATCTGGACAAAATGTCACCCAGGGTTAAATTTCGACGTACTGTATATTTATAAGGTATAATCAATAATAACTTACTTACTGACTCAGACCTCCGTTGTCTGAGTAAGATGCCCATCAAAAATAATGATGCTTATGATATTGATGATAATAAAACACACACTCATGCACGATGCACTTAACATGCAAAATAATGATGACAAGAATAATAATAACAAATATTAAAAAACACAATTTCGACGCACTTTTTAAACAAGTAATTAATACAAACAATGCCGATAATAATAGTGATAATAATGATATTGATTATAATAAATCAGGTTGTTCGTGCTTTGAGATCTTGTCCTAACCCCGCCAATGGAAATCTACCAACCGATTACCTTCTCTTCCTTTGCCCGGGCAAACGAGAGCTCGGAGGGGAACATATTGATGTAAGTATCTCACAATCTGTGAGTTACGTTCTCATCTTGTTAGAATTATCTAACACTAATATATGTCCTCGTATATATTTTGCTTTTAAGTTTTAAACGCCTTGCTATTGTCTATACTATATGTACTGTGTAGTCCAATGTCAGACTGTCTTCGAAAGAAAATGGAATAATTGGGAAGAATTTATGAAATTAATCTTAAAAGTTTTAACGACTTTTAACAGTACACTTGTCTGCATTGTACTTTTTAAATACTGCGCCATAACTTAGATCTTAGATACGCCCTTTTTATTTGGACACGCTTTTTATAGCTCTTACTTAGACACCTCTGTTTTGATCTTATGCACTTCCTTTTTTGGGGGCAAATTAGACACGCATATTCTAGATCTTGACACGTTTTTTTATCTTAGACACGCTTTGTTTAGACCTTGACACGTGTGTTTTTTAAATCTTAGTCACGCATATTTTAGATCAAGGACATTCTTAATTTTTAGATATTAGACATTAGATATTAGATATTTGACACGCCTTATATAGATATTTGACACGCTCAGTTTAGATCTTAGGCACGCCTTATAAAGATATTTGACACGCCCAGTTTAGATCTTAAACACGCCTTATTAAGATATTTGTCACGCCCTGTTTAGATCTTAGACACGCCTGCCCCTGGTTCCTTGGCTGAGACCTTCCGAAGAACAAAAAGACAAATGATTTACGTTCACAGCAAGGGGACTAAACAAATTTATGATTATGAATAATATGATAAATATGATCCTGAAGCGATTGTGAGAGAAATGTTGAATGTTAAAGTGTGCCATGAACAAATCAAAACATTACAATAAAGGGGACACTGTTAGGATAAATATTTCAAGGCTACCTTTATAAATCTCATGTGTCAGTTATCAAATGAAATGTCACTTAGAATAATGTCTATACTGTCTCATGTTAACATGATGCAGATTCGGATCCTGGATTCACCCGGAAAATAATAGATCCGGATCCAGGTCTCTAAGATTTGCTGAATTTTATCAAAAGAACATGAAGAAATATCAAATTGTTTTTTTCTTTTTTTTGCAAAAATCGCGATGAAACATTTAGATTTTGTTTGAGAGCAAAAAGGTTTTTTAGTTTCTAGTTGGTATTTTGCCCTTCGAAAAGATTCTTTAACGGCGATGACGAAATGTAAGTTTATGGTATACAGCTAGTTGTGAATCTTTGAGGATAGGTGATTTTTATTGTATAGGGGTCGATTAGAATTAAGTTGACGAGCCCTTAAAGGGAGTGACCGGCAATTTATGGTGGTTGAACTGAATATGTAGTATTGTGAACAAACTTTTTAGGATTCATTTGAGACATTAAAAACCGTTTCTACGACGTATTTTTACTCAGTTTGAGCGCAAAGTCGACATTCAAAATCATGAATTTGGGTGGGTACATTTTCAGAATCGTTACTTTTTTAATTATTAACAACGACGACAAAAAATGTAAACCAAATTCTACAGTAAACTAATTATGTGTAAAGGAACAGATTAAGAAAATAAAAACTCACTCTTATCATAAAAAATAAGTAATCTTGTTCAATAATTTATTTCTATAATCTCTCATAATTCACAAAGATTTTCAGTAGATTTTCTGGAATTTTTTTTGAAAAGACGACATTTGAAGAATTTGAAGAAATCTGCGAACAAATTTCTTTTGAGAAATATGTTCCTTAACAATTAGATTACTGTATAATTTTTACTTTCTTTTTCGTCGTCGTTATTTAATAATAAAAAACCCGATTCTGAAAACGTACCAACCCAAAGTCATGATTTTAAATGTCGACTTTGCGCTCAAACTCAGTTATTATACATAGTGGAAACGTTTTATTGCACTCAAACTTAGTAATTATACATCGTGGAAACGTTTATGTATATATGTCTCAAATGAATCCTAAAAAATTTGTCCACAATACTGCATAGTGTATACTCAGTTCAGCCTCTATACATGGCCGGTCACTCCATTTAAAATAAACTAATGTTGACTACTTATTGCTTGTATGAATCTGAATGCATAAATAATTTCTAATCAAGTATTTCCCAGAATGTCTAGAACATTTTCCATCTTTAAATTCGCCTGAATTTAAAACTTAAAAATAAAAATGCTTATTTTTTTATCTGGTAATAATGTACTTTATTATATGTAGACAATTGGACATTTTGCAATGAAACCTTCATAAAAATGAAATGTTACAATTACGTTAGAAAGGCTATGAATGTTGACAATAGACGTTCATTCAAAGTTTTATTATTTCTTAAAAGCTGAAGAATGAAAAATCCGTGAATTTAAGAGATAAAAAATATTATGATTTGAATTTGTGTTGTAAACAGATGATAATTGTGGATGACAGCTATATCATTGTTGGATCAGCTAACATCAATGAAAGGTAAGTTTATGGTACAAAATCGTGTGTAGGTTTCAACCCTGATAAGTAAATGGTTAAGCACAACGGATGAGACTTAAATTAAGACCTATATTTCTTTATAAATGATTATTTGAAGGTTAAGGTTTATGATTAGACAAAATAAGAACAAGCAAAACGATCGATTAAATCCGTTCAGTCGTCTTTTAAATCTTATTCTTTGTGGGTATCCCTGTACATTGCTTAAAAAATTGATCCTTACCGGAAATTTTGTTTTAAGAAAATGGATGGAAAAAAGAGTAAATATCTAATGGATTTGTAGACTGCAAACTTTTTTCTCCCAAGATTTGGAAATTATACCAGAAAACATAATAAATGTTTTATTCAGATCAATGTCTGGAACAAGAGATACTGAGATGGCCGTGGGTTGCTGGCAGCCTGCATACAAGTTAGTTTTTTATTAGATTTCATTTGGTTTACCAAAGTTACCATTTATATAATTGAGGTGATGATTTACGATTTTAGTTTGCTCTCTTTTTTAAGCATGAGTGTCGCTGCTTGTATTCTAATTTGTGTAATTAACAAATTACATATTAACGAAATGCAAGAATGAAGAAGACATCTACTTTACTGAACATTTAACCACCTTAATAATGAGAAAGTATATTTTTGGTTTTATCCGTTTTTGGCTTATTATTCTGTTTTTTTCTCTAGTGCATACAATCCGTATGGAGAGGTTCATGTATTCCGAATGTCTCTGTGGGCTGAACATCTCAAGTAAGTTAATGTATTTTGTAATCTGAAATTTTGAAATTTATAATTTCAAATATTGATGACTGTTTTTTAGGCATTGGGAGGAGGTATTCAGATTCCCGGGTACCCTAGACTGTACTAGGAAAGTCAAGGCAAGTTGGTTTTACAAAAAATATTAATTTTATAAAAAAAACTGATTCTGTTAAAAAAATATATTTATTTTATTGAGTTTGAAAAAAAAATTTGGTGGTCCTCCCTCCATTTTTAGAGTGGCAATGTGATTACCCTCTTAACCTTTATATGATAAGCATTGAGAAAGATATTTCTGTGTTTTCATCTTAAAAATTTTCAAGTCACTTCTACAGAGAAACCGCATTTGAAAATAATCTATTTACAAAGAGAAAAACATTGATATCTCTATTATTGATCAGACAACACTATCGTGAATCGGATTTTATAAATAGAATTAGAACCTTTTCCGTTCAGTGCTTTTTTTCATGCAATGACAAATGGACTAGGAAAACGACATTATATCAATTCTTAATATATAAATGTAAAGAGCCAATAGTTTTACTAGACACTTAATATAAATCAATAATTTAGTTTAATGGGTCGGTTTCATCTGCACAATTGCTGTGTCTCATGCTCATTGGAATTTTTAAAGTTGTAAATTGATTCCTTAAGTCGTCTTCCTATTTCAGAGTTATCTGGTTATCACTGTTTGTGTAAACTGTACAGTCTCTTTATTTTAAACTTGTACAACATATGTAATGATGTACAGGAGATGTCAGATTACAACTGGGAGTTGTACAATTATGAAAAGTACGGACACCCGGAACACATTCTACCCCCAGGACAGCTCCTCACTTATCCAGTTCAAGTAATATTATATTTTTATTATTATTATCATTTTTATTATTAATATATATGCTTTTATATGTTTTTTAATCAATTTTATTCCTTTAGTTTTTTTTATAAAATAGATGGTCTACAACAAAATTAAGTATTCTTGTAAAAGCTGTAATATTATTATTTATGAAATCAGTTCAGAAAGCCCACGCATTTAATTTTTTACCAAGCAAAAATTTTCTATTCTATATAATTTGCCATCGACTGTTTTGGCTTATTTTTATGTTGAAATTCTTGAGACGCCATTAAAGGGTAAGGAAGAGATTTTACAGAAAATTTTTTTTATGTTTATATTTTGCCACTTGTAATGTTTTGAAGTTTTCTATCACAACTACTGGGCTTTAATTTAAAATACCTGAAAGCAGTTTGAATCTGATGCACCAGAGAATTCTAAACAACTGTAATTCAATACCGGCAGTCGGAATGTAATTTATTCATTGCTAGAATTTAATTTTGATCGCACTCATCGGACGAGGGTTTGAACTGCCACCCTCAGTTCCGAAATTATTGACGGTTGCACTATGCCACGGAGCTCCTGCTTTTCGGGATCTCCAATTATTAGATAAAATATTTCCAATTTGTTGTCAGTTGCTGTTTCTAAAAATGTAATTGATTTAGGTGACCTCTGACGGAAAACTAGAAAATCTGCCAGGATTCAAGAGCTTTCCAGACTACCCTGCTTCCGCTCAGGTACGTTAAAAACTCAACAAATATTTTTTACCTCAAAAATTAATGTTACTAAATTTTATCCAGAACTTCGGAGATGCCTAAAGAGTTTATAAAATATCGTTTTCTAAACTTACTGAAAGTCGAATGCAGCAGATATTATGTTTTTAACTGAAAAATTATGTGGAGTTCTTTAAAATTGTTACCGCAGAAATTATAGGTGTTTATTAATGTATACAATTACTGAGATTTAGGTATAATATTATAAAACTTATTGAAAAATTTTAAACACTCTGTGGATGTCTTCAAAGTTCTGGTCTAAACTGTAGCATTTTTTAACAGTTTTTAATAATAATGGTTACAGGTATTCGGATCCAAGACAGCCATGATTCCTGAGAAGATAACAACATAATGTTGAAAAGTATTCCTGTGAAGATAACAACATAATGTTGGAAAATATTCCTGAGAAGATAACAACATAATGTTGGAAAATATTCCTGAGAAGATAACAACATAATGTTGGAAAATCCACGAAATGCAAGATTAATCCTCGAAAAAAAAGAAATCCTAATTGCGTTAGGGAGGACAATTCACCAAGAGTTGATTTATTTTTGAAAAAGAAACTTTTTTATGTGTGTTTATGAACGAATATTATGTAAAACAACTTAGATATTATGCGCAAGCACATTTTCACGCTGAAAGATTTTTAGACTTTTTTATCATCTTAATTAATATTTTTTTTTGCTATAAGATGCTCTTTTTTCTATAAAAGCTTTGCTTGATATGGATTACAAATTTTGTTTCAATGCTCAAGGTTTGGGAGAAGGTCAAGTTTTTTATTGAACGCCTTTTCGTGAATACTCGAACATGCCATTACAAATTTTAACAATTTTCTAATATCCAATTTTTTTCCTAAAACTTTAACAACTATTGTTCTTTAATCTATCGGAATTTGGGTTTAGGGGGGGGGGTTACAATTTTTCATATTTTTGTAACAAAATTAATTTTCCATGATTATAATCTATGTTTTAATTCTAATGTTTTTATGAAAATCAAGCCTCAATGTGATTAAATATTTACAATGCACACCGCACAATGTTTAAATTTTGATTAAAATAATAAAAACTAACAAAAATATAAGTTTTATAACAAAAATCTAGATTTTTTCTCATATTTCGCAGACAGTAGAGCGTATTGTATAATCCTGAATTCTATATTCACTATACACACCTTTGATTAGGTTTTACGCGCTAAATCTGGGAATGTTGTTTTTGTAATTTATCCAGGTTTATCACTGACTAATATAATTGGTAATCAGGTATCCATCCAACATCTAAGGTTGACTGTGTGTGGAGGGGGAAATTTGTCGTTTAATTGTACAAAAATGTCTCTTTAAGTTGGATTTTTTAAGTTATAAAAAACTAGAAATGCTGAATTTATATTAGTTTTATCTGATTTCACTATCTCAAGAAATTGGTATAAAACTGCTCCTAAAGTTATTCGAAAGCATTAGGCACTCAGCTATTCTAATTTGACTGTTAGAATTTTTAATTTTAGGTTTCATTTAACATACGTTGTAGTGTTCATGCTGATAATTTACCGTAAGGTGTCTCTGCTCTCAGTATTTTAGGAATTTGATCCCTTATAATCGTAATTTATTTCTCAATTGAAGAGAGCTATATGTTGTGCCGAAATATATTTATTTTAATAAGGTTCACAAGATTCATGAAACAAGATGTAGACATTTTTAAATTTTTTTTATTTCATTATCCTGTTCTTGCTTTCTCCTCCCATTTATTTATCACCTTAGCTTTCGTCTCAGTCGGAACCTTTAAAAAGGAATGGTTAGGAATGCAGTGTAAAGAAATAGTTCAATAATTAATGTCGTCTTTAAGAACAAGTTTCTGAAAAACAAAAGTCGTCTTACTTTCCTAGCTCGGATAAGAAGCCAAGTTGATAGCAAATCAATCGTAACGTTTAACGTTAATACGTAATATGTATAACAAGTATCACCTTTGTCCATTTTTGTGCTTGAATTTTTCCAGATTTATCATTCTTAAGATTAGCAATACTCTTCATTATACTATTCACAGTCTGAAACACAAAGATCTGAAAACGTAATTTAAATAAAATTCTGGCTATTTATAGAGGAATATGTCTGATTCACAATGTTATTCTTAACAGCTTAACATCTGGTCAAAAATGCGTCGTTTTTTGTACAGGGTGTCCCAAAAAACATGGGAATTCAGTGACGAATTTGATATCGTCTTTGTTATGAATTAGCATTGTAATGCCTAATTTCAAAAGCCATAATATTTTTATGTCTGCTAGAGCTTATTTTATGAAAAGGGTAAAAGACTGTAAAGATGTGTCTATAATGTCTCCGCAAGATGAACAGTGAAGACAGACAAGTTTACTCTTTTGTATACTGTAATTTTCTTGTTTTACTAAGTACAACTGTATGCAGTCAAAACATAAACAAACAAAACGTAAACATAGCAGACGAAACTCTTACAGATTACAGCTTTCTCAGTAGGTATCACTACACTAAATCAAAGAATTATTTGAAAAGACGATATCGAATTCGTCACTGAATTCCCATGTTTTTTGGGACACCCTGCAGTTACCTCCATTCTTTCGTTCAGCATAAATTCGCTGAAGTCATTTTTATAGAAATAGCACAAGTGAAAATCAATAGGTATCTCATTTATTTTTTAAAAAGATACCGTTGTGAATCGCACATGTTACTCTACTAATATTTGAGTGCCACACTCTACTAATATTTGAGTGCCACTAATTGTTTATTTAATTTTCTGTTATCTTTTAGATCCTAAAATTTAAAGATTACAAAAAAAACAGGAGAAAATAAAATTTAAATTCATTCGCAGAACAAAAATGAACAAAATTCCAATATTTGAGACTTAACCGGACAAAACTATTCCATTTTCATCATATTAACCTGTCTTTAACCTGTAAATTCCTCGTTTATAAATATTAATTTTGAGAGGGAGAGTTGCGAAGCTCCTCCCCTGAGGGATGAAAATCCCCCTCTCTCCGTGGTTACGCGTTATTCCATGAATATTTATTATAAATAACAAACCGTAGCTTTTTCCTCTCCTGTTGCAGGTTTAAGTTCAGCCTCTCTTCCTTTCCCAGCTAGATAGCTCCTAATAATACATACATGTTACCAATAATGGTTGCCAGCTAGATAGCTCCTAATAATACATGTTACCCATAATGGTTGCCAGCTCGATAGCTCTTAATAATACATACATGTTACCCATAATGGTTGGCAGCTAGATAGCTCCTAATTATACATACATGTTACCAATAATTGTTGCCAGCTAGATAGCTCCTAATAATACATACATGTTACCAATAATGGTTGCCAGCTAGATAGCTCCTAATAATACATACATGTTACCAATAATGGTTGCCAGCTAGATAGATCCTAAATATACATTTAGAAATACCCATAATGGTTGGCAGCTAGATAGCTCCTAATAATACATACATATTACCCATAATGGTTGCCAGCTAGATAGCTCCTAATAATACATACATGTTACCCATAATGGTTGCCAGCTAGATAGCTCCTAATAATACATACATGTTATCCATAATGGTTGCCAGCTAGAAAGCTTCTAATAATACATACATGTTATCCATAATGGTTGTCAGCTAGATAGATCCTAATAATACATACATGTTACCCATAATGGTTAGCAGCTAGATAGCTCCTAATAATACATACATGTTACCCATAATGGTTGCCAGCTCGATAGCTCTTAATAATACATACATGTTACCCATAATGGTTGGCAGCTAGATAGCTCCTAATAATACATTCATGTTACCCATAATGGTTGCCAGCTAGATAGCTCTTAATAATACACCCATGTTACCCATAATGGTTCCCAGCTAGATAGCTCCTGCTTATATTTTTCAATTTATGTCAAGAAGTAGAAAACCGTGCGCATACTTCAATTTAGAATACTTAAGGCTTCATTTTATAGCAAACAAAAATTTAGATAATAGAAACCATTACAAGAGTTACATTTGCGGTTCTTGTCGTTCTAAATATGGAAATAGTTTCTTTAATTAATATATTTGTATTTGGCACAGGAAAAGTTACTGAAACGTTGATTATAATATTTATGCCCAAACCTGACACCCAGTGCAAGGTTTGGAACATAAGCTCCCATTGAAAAATTGTCACGATGACATTTTGTGAATTATTTTGATGTCTACAAAGTTTTGAATTAAAATGTAGCATGAAGAATTCAAGGTAAATTTAAGTCTCCTGCCTTGAATAGTGCCTCTGAATGCAAGAAAGATACCAGTTTATGCGGTTTCAGGGAATTATGAATATAAGGGAACAAAAAATTATGTAACACCCTTAATCTACACTCTACAGGGTTACCTTTAAAGGATGAGACTTCAGAGACGACTGTACTGAATTTTTTCAGTTCTTTCTGACATTGATGGTTTCCTTTAAACTTTTAGAGCTTTATTTTTTTGTCTATTCAGACCCAAAATAAAGACAATTCGTGTGACCGAAAATGAAGATTAAACTTCAGATTGTCCAAATTAAAGCGGTTTCTTTTATTAAAGTCTCATCCTTTGTGGGTAACTCTGTATTATCAAACTACACCTTATAACCGTGGCCCAAGGAATTGTCTTGCTAAGAAGTCTAAATTCTTCAAGGCTTTGATTGGAACCAAAAGTTGCTTGCTCCTGTAAAAAAAAGAAAGTTTACATGTTTTGCTCCGTTTTTTAGAAAATAAAAATTCTAAAACTTTTTCTTTCTATATTAGGCATTGAGACAGAGAACTTTTACTAGCTATTAAATTTTTAGAGAAATATACAGTGGTCGACCTTTGTATCAATAAAATAAACACGACTTTTTTATTTAAGTTTAGCTTCCTAACAAGCTTTTTTCAAATTACAAGTTTAAAAATAAACAAAGAGAAGCTCTTGATTGACAACTTCTCTTTGTTTTCATGTTCATGTGTATGCCATGCTGTTTGAGAGCTTGGTCAAAATCGAAAATTTACATCGAAAGTCGTCTTCATTGTAATGATATATACGTCGACGACTGTATAGTACTGGAACAAAAAAATACTAAACGAAACATCTAGACAGACATGGGTTTCAAAAGATTTAGTTTTTGAACAAGAAAAGAAGAAAAGAAAAAGACTAACTTTTACAATTAATAATTTTTTAATTGTTTTTTTAGCATTTAATCTGATGTTTGTACTTTAGTGGGGGGGGGGGTAACTTCAACAAAGCTTCTTCAAGGAATTGTTAACAAATGCAAAAAACAAATCAAAAATAGTTAATTTGGTCGTAAAAAGAAAAACACAATTGCAAAAACAATATTTTTTAAAGCTTTATCGTCAATCTAAAGGAGTTTTTTTGCCACTAACACACACAAAAGTTCTTATCCCTATATCTTGGCAACCCGAAATGTTATATTTCAAAATTAGACTTCTTGATCCCAAAGTGAATAAATCACTTTGTCTTGATCCAACATAATTTTCTCTGTTTGAAATATTAAAGGTTTACGACATCGGTTTGATTTATATCTATTTTGAAGGAAAAAAAACATCGCTAGTTTACTTACCCTTTTTTTCACAGGATGATTTGTTTAATCATTAATAATTCAAAATTTGTTAAAAATTTAGATTTTTTTCTATTTAAAAACATCATTCCTAGAATTACCTTTACTTTAATATGATGATCTCTGTCCCATTTGGTCTGCATCCGTTCTACATCTCCTACTTTAGTTTGCCCAGGGGGAGTAAACCCCCATTTAAGATTACCTAAACAAAACTCATTTCCAGAGAGAAAATTATGGATTTTTTAATCATCCTCGGCCAACCAAAGGTTTTCAGGGTACCGTTGTGAATCAGATATGCCACTTTATAAATAAAAAGTTACTCGAAATTACGTCTGCTGTCTCTTTAAATCTATGAATCACCTTTAAGATTCCTTTAACAAAAAATAATTTTGGCTTTCTTTTTATGATATATGTATTGTGTATAAAGAAATATAACTAATGAATATTTTATTAGAAACATCAACCAAGAATTATGGTCTTGGCTTTGTTATTTCAATTTTGTAGATTTTGAAATATTGCTGTGAGATACTTTTTAATGTTAAAAAGAAACTAAACACTTGTCTATTATAACAACCTAATATTTCAAACTTTAATTTTAGTGCTAAGGATTTTTTTGTGGCATGAATAAATAATTTGGATCTCTAAACTGTCTCTAAATACAGATACGTGATACAGATTGAGATACGTGATCAGTATACTGCACTGCCATTGGTGGAAGTTCTGGTCACGTGATACAGACGCATCAATTATATTATTAGTCTTATCTATTTAAAAAGAAAAAATATTAAGCTAAAATTAAAACAGGAGCGTATCCAAGTTGTTTAGTCTCCTCTGGGTTATCGTAAATTTCAGATTCGTTGCGTATTTGATAATTGTGATATGTTTAAAACTTTAAAATATATACACCAGATATATATACAGTGAAAACCTTAATAAAGAATACATCGAAAGAATTCATCAAATGTCGTATTCTTCACTTTCTGATAATGGAATGTTGCAAATATTTAGCTTTTTTATTAAATGATTATATGGAACTCTTTAAAACTGTTTCCGCATATTCATGGCTATTTATTTATTTTCACAAATACTAAAATTTACGTGATATAGTAAAAAACTCATTGAAAAATTGTCAAGACGACATTTGATAAATTCTTCCGATGTATTCGTTATTAAGGGTTTCACTGTATAAGTTTTGGTATAACGTTGGCACAGATTTATCTTAATTTCTCGATACAGGGACATCAGATAGAACTAATATAGGTCGCAATCGGCTCCTAAAGTGTTAAGGTTTCAGCCTATCCCCCTTTCAGTTTTCCTTAACCGTACATTTTAATATTTTCATTTATTCTATTTACCTAGAGCATGAATAACTCTTGGTTTCTTTTTTTCTGTTTTTTTACTCCGTTCCTCCACAACAAATCTATAAATATTCATCCTATATATTGAAAACAAATAAACATTGATATTTTATCTTGAAAGATTCAATAAATGATATTAGGATAATGGGAAAGGTATCAACTTATTGATTTGAGGGATTTGTAATTATATATTCATTCTAAAATTTACAGATAAATAAAAAACAAAACATTTGATCATAGACATTTTCTTTATATCTGTTGAGCATAAAGTGTGAAGTACACATTTTACATGTAACGTATAAAGTGCAGACTGTTCAGCATAAAGTGTATTGTGCAAATTGTACATGTAACGTATAAAATGGAGACTGTTCAGCATAAAGTGTAAAGTGCAAANTATTGTGCAAATTGTACATGTTACGTATAAAGTGCAGACTGTTCAGCATAAAGTGTATTGTGCAAATTGTACATGTTACGTATAAAGTGCAGACTGTTCAGCATAAAGTGTACAGTGCAAATTGAAATTGTTCATCTTACGTATGAAGTTTTTGTAGAGCAAGCATAAAGTGTAAAGTTCAGATATTACGTGTGCCATTGTAACGCTTAAACTGTAAAGTATAAAGTGAAAAGTTCAAATATTACATGTGTCATTGTAACGCTTAAACTGTAATGTATAAAGTGTAAAGTTCAAATATTACATGTGCCATTGTAACGCTTAAACTGTAATGTATAAAGTGTAAAGTTCAAATATTACATGTACCATTGTAACGCTTAAACTGTAATGTATAAAGTGTACTGTAGAGCAAACCTCATTCCTGGTGCTTTTGCCATTATTTCTTCCCGCATAGCTCTTCGAAACTTCATTTTTGCTCTTTGTCTTTCAGCCTTGAGTACAGAAAATCTGATTTTTTACTTAAAACCAGTACAAATTAGATAACACCAGTACAAATTAGATAACACCAGTACAAATTAGATAACACCAGTACAAATTAGATAACACCAGTACAAATTAGATAAAACCAGTGCAAATTAGATAAAACCAGTACAAGTTAGATAAAACCAGTACAAATTAGATAAAAACAGTACAAATTAGATAAAACGTGCAAACACACTTAAAAGATGCATAAACCGACTCATTTCGAAATATAAATAATAGGTAATTTAATTTTCACATTTACACTCTCCGTTTTTGCAAGGGTTTCCACGAAATAACCATATTTTTTGCAACAAATTAGCGCCATTTTCGTGCAAACTTTTTTGTGAACTTTTGCGCATGAAACGCAGTATGGTTTGCGTGTTTTTGTGCAATTTTCGTATTTTTTAATCAGATAAAGGTTTCAATTGATAATGTTGGGAGTCAGGCTTTGCCATCTTTGCAAGGAGGGTTACTAAAGAAATTATACTTACAGTCCCTTTAATCATTACTTATAAGAAACAACAGTTCATGGTTTCAAAAGGTAATTCAAATTTGTTCATGTTTATCATTTAAAATAATTGACATTTCAATCAAGAAATCGGTTTGGTAAAAATAAGAATATAAAAGCGTTCTCGCCCCCCCCCCCCCCTCTCACACAACTTTAACTTAAACATTCTTAATTATTACCTTTTCCCAAAAGTAAAATTGCGCAAAAACAGATTGTGAAAAAGCGGAATAGTGCAATTTTGCGTTAAATTACATTTGCTAATAATTGCATAAAAGGGTTTTGCAATGAAAGAAATATTTTGCGTTTTGTTTCGCAAACATAGCGCAAAAGTCTTGGGATTGAAAATCCTAATTTTTTACTGAATTGAAAATATAAAGCAAAACATAAAGCTGAAACATGACATTGACTTTACCTCCTCAATTAAAGAACAAGACACTTTCTCAATATTAGAAAAATAAAAATTTAACTAAGCAAAAAAAAATGTGCACATTTTGTTTTTTATATGCGTAACTTTGGAAACTTTGAACATTTAAAGACAAGAAAGAGGAACTCAGTGTAAGTGATGTTTTGTTTTGTTGTTTCCGTTGTAAGTTATTTTAAATCATAAAAGTAGTTTCATTACCCTGACATCTTGATATTTTTTACGAATAAGAACCATCCAAGTTGTAAACAGATTCAATGGAGATGGAGCAACATTCGTCCTCTGCATATTTCTGATCAGTTTTGCCAAACCAAATTTCCATTCTTAAAACAGAAAAAAGTTAAGAATGAAATGTATTATAAAACTTGTTTAATGTTACCTATGTCTGACTGTTCTTTGATCCTGACGTAGGTATCTGACATCATGGCTATTAGAAGATTGATGAGAACCACAACCGTGAGAAGAAGGTAGCATGCAAAAACTAGCTCAAACGCTGTTGTAGTCCAAGGTTGAATATGTTCCGACATTTGAAGATCCTCTAGTCCTGCTGCTCCAAACAGAGCAAAATAAAGTTTCTGAAAGAGAATGAAAGGTTGAGCCCCCTCCTCAGCGGCCACCATGCCAAAGAACTCATCCTGGGGAAGGTTTTCGGTATTGGTGCTGTTGTATTCACCAGGGAATCCAAACGGTTGATTCATTGATGTAATTAAAAGTGCAAATCCCAAGACAAACAAGCTCAGAACCTAAAATATAGGGTTTCAATTTTGTTCTGTAAAGGACTTACAAAAATCGTCCGATAAACTTTTTCAGGATGTCACATTAGCTTTCTGTATTGTCTCAGAGGAAGATTTAATCTTTATCTGGTTATTGATTCTGCCCGTAATTTTCCAATAGTTTAATATTTATTATTCTTAACAGCTTCAGGAAAGGACTTGTAAGGCCTTTACAAAACCAAATTGATCCGGATAAAATTAAAAACCCTACTAAATTTTTAATATATTCTGCTGCAGTAACAATTCTAAGGATTAAGTTAGATTTTACTCACCACTACAAATTTACCCACATCCAGAAGAAGCTCCCCAATAATGATTGCCCAGGGTCCAAACAAAGGATGAAAGGCCAAAAAATCTAATATTTGAGCCAGAGCCATTAAAAGAGTCAACCCAAAAAATTGGTTCCTTAAAGAATTAAGATAAGAATTAAGAATTAAGAATTAGATACTAAGTAAATTACCTGATGTAAATTAGGAGACTCCAGTAGTAAGGATCTAAAAATATTGCCACAATGTGCACACAAAGGGCACAAACTCCAAGAAATACATTAAAGGACTTGATCCAAGCCAGTCCGCCCTTGGCACCAGGGTTAGTCAACTGAGCCAGTAGAAGCCCAGCATACCAGGTGATGGTTATTGCTTCATACCAGAAGGGCCACATGTTGAACCTTTTACAAGCATACATTACACACATAGTTTTGTATTTATCTATTTATCAAGGTTATTGCTTTATATTTATAAAAAAAATGCACCTGAATGTTGAATGAAGAGGTATAACACATGTGAGGCACAAGAAGAGAACAAAGTAAATATGGCTGGTGAGATAAGATAAAAATTTGACAAAAGGAATTTTATTCATCCTGTAATTTATGGGTAGGCTGTAAAAGAACCAGATGGGAGGAATTAAAACAAATAAAAAGAAAAATCCAACAAGTTTCCAAGTTGCCCAATCAAGTTGTCCATTCCAGATTTCTTGAAGATACTGCTGAACAACATATTCTGATATTACCATTTTTTGCTCGGTTTCAATAAGAATATCAATGAACTGATTGTTATCATTGTCAACTGCATTCAGAATTTGACCTGGACTTTCAATATGGGAGGAGAGAACTACCATTTCCCTTGCAAGATCTTCACAAAAATCTGCACTTTCAAGTAAGTCAGTTGCCCTTTCTTTTTCAGTGCCAGCCATGTCTCTATAAATAGCCGAAAGCTTAGCTGCAGTATCAGAGGGGGCAGGAGAAACAAAAATGAAGTTTTCAATCGGTTTCTGGTTGTCTGTTTTTCCCATCTTCATGAGGTTGTATACAAACTTATTGTCTTCAAGTAGTTCATAAGTGTCATGAGGATGACGAAGGAGATACTCAACAACATTCTTGTTTCCTTCAACACATGCATACCAGATCGCATTTTTTTCTTGAGAGGTTAGCTCAGTAGTTGACGTTCCTGTACTTACCAAGAGTGCACATACATCCAAGAACCCTCCCTTTGCTGCACAATGAAGAGCATTCCATTTGTTTCGATCAACCGCATTGACATTGGCACCTTGGCCCAACAGAGTTTGACACATATTGTAGTGGCCATTGGTTGCAGCAATATGCAAGCTTGTCTGCCCTGCTGCATCCACACTTTTTAGTAGATCTGTTGATCGGCTAAGTAAAAGTCCAACAACACCAACATGCCCAGACAAGCATGCTAGATGCAAAGGAGTGTATCCTGAGGGATGTGTTGCGCCATCTACTTGAATTCGTGGCTGGTTCAATATAGCTCGAACACAACTTTCACTACCAGAAAAAGAAGCCAGATGCAGGGGAGTCAAATCACTTTCATAACACAATTCCATTATAAGAGCATTTTCAGGCTTGGTTGGTTGAGCAGATTTTGTTACTGCTGGTATAAATTTAAACAGTTCTCTTGTTATTTCCTCCTCTCCGTAATATGCAGCTATATGTAAAGCAGTCATGCCTATTTTAGAGCTAGGATTTTTCATGGTAACTCCAGACTTTGCAAAGACATCAAAAACATCAGAATGGCCACATTTTGCAGCAAGTTGGACAGGAGTAAATCCATCTTTGTTCTCATCCCCTGGAGAAACTCCATTAGAAAGCATAAGCCGAACTGCATCTAAATGACCACCCTCTGTTGCAAGATGCAATGGAGAATTGTCATTGAATCTATTTTTAGCACTTGTCACCAAGGTCTTGTCAATATCAAACATGGCTTTAAGAACATCGACAGACCCTTTCTTCCCTGCAATATGGGCTAGTGTATTACCATCCTTTGTTGTTGCAGAAACAAGAGATGGACGGTTATCTAAGAAAAGTTTGACAACATCTGTGTGATCATTCTGGGCAGCCAAATGTATCGGCTTTTGATCTAAGTCATCATTAAAGTCAACCATAGCCTCAAGATCCATAAGTTTTTGACAGACCTCCAGCTTTCCGTTTAATGCAGCAAGGTGCATAGGTGTTTGCTTTTTAATTGTCAGAGATTCAATAGAAGCTCCATGCTTACTGACAAGGTAATCAATCAAATCTACATTACCCTTAGATGAAGCATAGTGGAGTGCAGTAAGTCCTTGTTTGGTCTTGCTATTTACAAATGCATTTTTTTCAAGAAGAAGTTGGCATACTTCCATGCTACCATACTCAGCAGCTAAATGTAGCGGAGACCTTCCTTCATTATCAAACACATCAACACGAGCATTGTATTTAAGAAGGATGTTGACCACTTCATTATGACCTCTACTAGCAGCTGCTAACAAAGGAGCCCAACCTAGTGTATTTTGTTTGTTTACAATTAACTGGGTGAGTCCAACATTTGTTTTGTTGAGTATTTCTTGGAGAATTTCAGCATTTCCAGATAAAGAAACATAATGAAATGCTGATTCTTGTGCAGTCACAGTTTGAACAGTTACATCAGCATTATTATCCATCAACATTTTAACTATGAGCTTGTCTTCTTCAGGAAAATGAAGCAAGTTCTTTGATATAATACAAGTATAGTGCAAAGCAGTTTCACCTTTAGCATTTACTTTATTAACATAGTCGGTGCAGTTGCCAATAAACCCCTGAATAAATTGAATCAGTTCACGAACAATTTGAAAATTACAAGCTTTACATGCTTTATGCAGAGCAGTTTCTCCCTCTTTGTCTGAAATTTGTGCATCTCCTCCATTTTGTAAAAGAGATCTTAACACTGCAAGGTTTCCATTAGAAGATGCAATGTGAACAGCCGTTCTTCCATCTCCCATGGGAAGATTTGGATCAGCACCAGATTGAACAAGCATTTTTGTGCATCTTTCTCCCTTAGCTTCTTCAATCCTTGCTGCTATATGAAGAGCTGTTTCTTGTTGCTTGCCTCCTTTTAGATGAACATCTGCCCCATTTCCAAGAAGACATTCTACCACTGCTGATTTGCCAGCTTCAACAGCAACATGCAATGGAGTAAGTCCATCTCCTGTTTTGGCATCCACATTCTCACCTTTCTTCACTAATGTATTTACAACATTAACATGACCTTCCTTTGCTGCAGTGTGAATGCTTCTGGCACCAAATCGGTTAGGCATCAACAATGGGACCTAATCAAGATTTTTTGTAACAATAGTTGAAGGCTTTCTGAAAACAAAGTACTTACTCCTTTGTCAAAAAGAGCCAATGCAGTTTCAGGATGGCCATTAACAGCAGCAATATGCATAAGAGTACTGCCATCCCTTGTTCTTTCATAGATGGAGGCCTTAAATTTATCAGCCAGGAAATTCAGTATGCTAAAATAAATTATATTTCAGAATTTGAAAAAAATTCATTATGATAAGATTCAAAAAGATCTTACTTTGTATAACCTCGTTCAGCACACAAATGAATGGGTGCACGACCCTCAACATCTGTGATAGAAGCATTTGCCCTGGCCATGAACAATACACGAACAACTTCCTCATTACCTAATACAAAGTTTATAATGTTATTATTCAACTTAATTAACAATAGTCAAGTTAATTTACCATGAATGCATGCTAGATGTAGTGTTGTTTGGCCTTCAGTGTTCTGAATATCAACAGAGGCTCCAGATTCAACAAGTAACTGTAATTGTAATAAAGTAGATATCCCATGAAAGAAAAAACAGTCAATTAATCCAGGGTTACCTTGATCAAGTTTGCGTCCTTTTTTCTTGCTGCCAAGTGCATTGCAGTGTCTCCAATGGGTTGTTTGGTCATATTAACCTAAATCATTAAAAATATTACCTTTATATCATCAAAATTATGAAAGTGGTTTCCCACCTGATCCTCAGGAAGCTGGGAAAGGAGCTCCCGACAGGTGTTATTATTTCCAGCTTCTATTGCACAGAATAACGGTATATTTCCAGATGCATCTAGTTTGGATCTGATGTCCTTTTTACTATGCAAAAGTAATGCTTTCACAACCTAAGAAACAGAAATATTTAACAGTTTTACCATAAACACAATGCAGATTTTAAGTTCAATTATTCTTGTGATTGCAATGCAAAACTTGAAAAATCATTTAAAAGGATAAATTAGATTATTTAATACTTGTGAAGATTGACTACTATGTCTAGAGCTTGCAAGATGAGTACATGTTTGCTGCATTGGTCCTCCAACTAGGTCTGGATCAGCTTTTTTACCCAGCAACCAGCTCACAGTATCCTCCCGGGAGTACATAGATGCTGAATAAAAAAAACATTAATCATATGAGTTATAATGTTTTGCAGATAGTTTCTGTTTCGCTACTTAGCGATTTCCCTAAAGACCTAATATATGTACCGTGTGGTATTTCTCAGGACTGGATC